GCTCTTCCGTTGCGTCGTTGCCTGCGGCGTCGCTTCGGACTGGAAGGTGTTGTATTCGGAAAGAACAGCTGCTCTCGGAGTTAGCTTTCTGGCACATGACAACTTTTTGTTTCTGGTACCGTTTTCAGGAGTGTAGTTTGTGCGAGCAGTAAGAGCAACCTTGGGCTTCAGAATCAGCATTGCGTTTTAGCCAAAAACCAGCACAGAAGGTAGCGTGGAACTGATGTTCCTGAGAAGATTTCTGTAAGAAAGGCTTAGTTTTCTTCACCAAAAATGGGGGACAGGGAAACCTGCAGAAGTAGTGCTTAACATCCATCCGCCTTTAATTGGTACAGGCAACCACTTCATATGCAATTGCCACTTACCTACTGATAATAAAATTGTCCTGTTTTACCTTCTTATGCTCTGTAATAGTTGTTTAAATCAAAAAGGAGGGATGTCACTGCAGCCAGGAGCAGCTCTTCCCCTTTTCTTAAGGGGTCTCCAAATGCAGTTTCTCCCCATCCATGCCAATAAACTCGTCTATTTATGAAAGAGTTTATGTAGGCTCCAGGGTCACAACACGAGTATCCTCCTTTTAATTTGCCAGAGAACTAGCTTGGGGAGCTTTTGTGTGTAATTGGGCTTGTCAGGAAACTGAAGGAGGAACAAGAATTGTGGGAGGTAGATATGGGCTGGTGAAGCTAGGTCGTGAGTGCTCTTGCCTCTTGCAGGATCCGGTTATCTATCGAGTCTGTGCCTGCTGCTTGTGGCAGCCTGTTTTGCTTTTGGGCCACCTTGGTTGAGAGAGGTACTGTGTTACGCAGCCGTTGTGGTCTGAAGAGGACAGTTTCTTAAACAGCAAGGATAAATCTGTGATGAGATCCATCTCAGAGCAGGAATTTCAGTATTTATTTTGTAGTTGGGGAAGTTTGCAAGACTTGTTTATGGTATGAATTCAGAATGTTCACAAAAGGGCGCTTTACTTAGTTACTGGTGCTGGCTGAGAGGAGAAGCAATAGATACGAAGTCTCTGCGGCCAGTTCTGCCTTCAGGAGGAAGCATTTAATGCTCAGTCAGTTGCTGAGGGTGTTGATTTTCATCACCATAGTTTTCAGAACTTTGGTGATTCAAGAGTCCAGAGGGACTGTGGACAGGTTCAAGCTCAGGGCAGGTGACTATAGTAGTAGCTGTTTTCAGTGAGAAGCTGAGTGCTTGCTTTCAGACTTCCAGATTAGCCTTACTGAGTCTTGAAAGCAATCTAATTTGAAAGAACTCTTTTCAGTCCTCTGATCAATTACTCTAAAATTGTTATTCTTGTACCTTCCCTTTCCACTTGCAAAAACATCAGAACACTTCAAATCTGTGTGTAGGCTTCAGTGTAGCTATTGAATTAAGTGTAGTGACTGGAAATACGACTTTTTTACATAATAGTTTAGCTACCATAGAACAAAAATAAGTAATGTTGCGCTTACCCCACTCAGTTAATCCTGCTCAAGTCCTTATGTCGAACTACTTCTTTTAAGTGCTCAAGTCTATAAACGCAAGTTTCCATTTACTTTTTCTGAAGTATGATGTATGGTGAGGGGGTGTCTTGTATTGACATGACTCTCGTAGTTTATCTTGCCTGTCACTGAGGTCTCTGCAACTGTCATTGCTGTATTTACAGTGGTTTTGAACATGCCCAATGTTAAGTTTCCTGATGCTGCTGTGATACAAGTTCAACGTGCTAGGTAGGGAAATCACAGAATGGCAGGGGTTGGAAGGGACCTCTATCGGTCATCTAGTCCAACCCAGCTCCCAAAGCAGGGTCACCTACAGCAGGCTGCACAGGACCTTGTCCAGGCGGGTCTTGAATATCTCCAGAGAAGGAGAATTCACAACCTCCCTGGGCAGCCTGTTCCAGGGCTCCGTCACCCTCAGAGGGAAGAAGTTCTTCCTCATGTTCAGCTGGCACTTCCTGTGCTTCAGTTTGTGCCCATTGCCCCTTGTCCTGTTGCTGGGCACCACTGAAAAGAATCTGGCCCCAAATGTGGTGGTTCAACTTCCAAACCATTGTGACTGTAGGATTACTGGCCAGTAGACAGTAGACCTGAGTACTGCCACAGAGGTGGTGAAAATTTGAAGCAGTACATATTTGTAGTAAAAGACAGTCTGAATTTGGGCGGACTTCCTTCAGATATGTTCTGACGATTGTTAGCTGTAGGTGCTAATTTATAAAATATTTGTCATTTCAGGTGCGGGTTGTTCTCAAATACCGACATTGTGATGGGAACCTCTGTATCAAAGTAACGGATGATGTAGCTGTAAGTACAGAATATATTCCCCCTTTGGGGTTTATTGTCCATCTCAGGGACTTGCATTTTGCTGTCAGTCACCTTGGGAGCTCTTAGCCATTGCTTGGGAGTGCTTGACAGTTCTAAAAACTTGTGCTCGGCCTTCCCTAGTTGCTGTGTCTCTGAGAGACATTGGCCTGTGGTTCAACTCTGCACAGTCCAAGAAAAGTTCTAACACTTCAGTGGTTTTTTTTTGAGGGTGTCGGCTAATCATTTTGGGATTCTATGAAAACAAGCACTACAAAAATCTTGGCTCTTCTCTCTGGGTGAAAATGCTCCATGGAATGACATTGGTAGCTTCTGCTGAAATATTTGAGGAGCATCTTCACACAGATGTGTTCACTAATGTGAGCATGGTCCTTTTTATTTGCTCAGAGTGGTAACAGCTTCTAGCTGTAGGTTCAGCTCCTCCTTTGTGATTATGAGATAGTGGAGTGCTATCAGACTGAATGACAAGATTCACTTGCAGCTCGGAGATGCCATCTTCTGCAATGCTGTTATGGTGTTAGTTATGCATTTAGTAGACACTGTGGTACTTACACACAACATGGAATTCTGCAGTGTTCTTCCAAGGGTTGTTGTACAGGGAGGTGGGGCACCTGCGCTTGCTAGTTGCCCTTGTTCTAAATAGTCTGGGCGCTTAGGAACGTGGGAGGGGTTAGGATGTGAGGTGGTGGGCAGCGGGTAGAAATGCGTCAGCGTGTGCGTGCTGATGTGCACACCAGCGACAGGTTCTTGGTGCTAGTGGTGTTATAGCCAAGTTGTTGCTTACTCTGCACTGCAGAAAAACAACAGTAGTCTGCTCTTCTCTTGTCTTCAGATTTGGAAAAATCAGATTTCTTCATTCTGGGAAAAGTAGCTTGGCATTGGTATTTCCAGTACCTGGGAGAGATGTGAAACTCCAGTAATGACACTTCTTGACAGGATAATAGGGCTTAGTGGGGTGAGATACTGAGTGTGGGGCACTGATAGCAGGGGGAAGTGAAGGGCAATTAACTTGAAATCTTCCATAGGGGAAGGCTGGAGTCAAGTCATTCCATGAACTTGGACTGTTTTCAGTTATAGGCCTTCTTACCTGCTTCCAGCCATGGAAAGCTGTGACACGAGTGGAGGGGAAGGAGGTTGATTTGGTTTTGTGGTTCTGGGTTTTTGTTTTGTTTTGGTGGTTTTTGGTTTGGTTTGTTTTTTTCTTTTTTTTTAATAAAAGCGGGGAGGGAAGTTTTCCTTGCTGCTGACTCTGTAGAACAAATATAGCTGAAGGAAAAAATGTTTTTCTGCTCTTTGTCTCTGAATTAAAATAGAAATTTAATGCTGGTAAAAGTTGCTGTGTTGACAGTGCTGAATAATGGAGTGTTCTGTGGTTTTTATCACTGTTAGATCAGCCTGGGCAGTCATACTGATGCTGTACAGGTGTAAGAAATTACTTAGTCTGCAAAAAAACACACTGGTATATTACTTTTGTTCCTCTTGCATTTACAGGCTTATCACATGAAGGAGTTCCTTTTGATTTTAATCAGATGTTATGTTCCTCATTTAGGACTGTCTTTGAAACAGATTTTTCTTGGGGGAGGGGATTCTCTTCAGTGGAAAATACACTGCCAGTGACATCAAATCAGTTCAGTAACATTAAGGACTGTGAAAGGCAAAATAAACTTGCTTTCAGGATATAGAAAATAGGAAAATAATTTCAGGTTTAAAACCTGCTTCTATTTTTAGACAGCACAAACAAGGGTGTCCTTTAAAGAGAGCTTTAAAACCCAAGTTTTAGCACCTTTTTTTGAGAGAGAAGAGACTAGGATAAATCATGAGCTTCCATGTTTTCAAAATGGAAGACATGAGCCTTTCAGAGAAGCTTAAATGTAGACACAGATGTGTATTTTAAAACAGGGTAGATGTGTGTTGGTGCTGCCTCATGGTAACAACTTGCCACAAATGAACAGTTAAGTGCTTACCTTGTTTTGTGTATTCCAAGAACAAATTTGTTGCAACTATAAACAGTGTAAAAACAGTTCAAGTGAAATCTGATATTAAGCACTTTCTCTTACAGTGTTTGCTGTATAGAACAGACCAGGCGCAAGACGTAAAGAAGATCGAGAAATTCCACAGTCAGCTAATGCGACTCATGGTGGCTAAGGAATCCCGCAGTGCTGCCATGGAAACAGACTGAATTGCTGAAAATAAAATGAATGCTCCGGTCATATTTCACTGGAAGAAAATATCTCTTGGATTTGAATGAATATTGGGACAGGAGATGCTTTTATGTACCGAAGTGGACTGATGACAAGTCTGAAGCATTTTTCTCCCCCAGACTCCGCTTTGGAAAACTAGAAAAATAAATGCTTTCAATTGAAAGCTTATATTTATTTTTGGGAATTGAACAAGAAACTAGTCTTATGCATTAGGTATGCTAAGAAGACAAGCAGATATATGTACAGTACTTTAGTGTGAATTCGATGGGCCACAACCATATTTCTGGAAAGTTACTATAAAATCTCATATATATTTCATTGTGTTCATACCTTATGCTGGTGTATTCTCACAGTGAGAAGGTTTATTAACCTGACTAATACTGTAGCATGATGACTGGATCTAATAAATATTTACATAAATGATATACATCAGTGGGTTTAGAAGAACGGTTGTTTTCTGAACTGAAATGTTAAAATTGGCAATTTGTATTAGCACTGTCACTAGCAAGATTTTAGCTGTTAGTATTGATCTTGGTCATAAGCTGTGCAACATTACCTGTGATGCAGTTTGTAGAACTGTTATATTGGCTAAATAATTAAACTTCTGTATTTTAAAACTTAAAAGTAAAACTTTGCTTGAATATTGCTAGAGATCAGTGAGAAACTGGGAGTTTCTTTTCTGCTTATGCAAATACTGTTATTAAACAGTAGTCAGTGGCTTTTTTTCAGTACTTGCACTATTTTGTACTAGCAGGAAGGACCTTTTCTCATCCTTGCTTCAGGCAGAGTTGAAGTATATCAGCAAGACAAATTCTAGAAGTTCTTGCGTATTATGTTCACAGAAAAATGCAACCAAACACTAGCCAGAATCCTTATTTGAGCAGCTTGCTAACTCTGCGTTTTCAGATGTTACGTGTGGCAGATGGATGTCAGCCAACTGAATAAATGGATGAAAATCAGTTTAATAAATACTTAAATACTACTGTCAAAAATAGACCAATGCTCCTGTGGCTTAGACTTGTTTCGCATTGTTACCTCTGGTAGGGTGATGGAAGCCTTAATTGTCTTTTGCAAAGGGTTGTTCTTAAAAACCCAGTAGCTGAAATTGATACTTGCTTTGACTAGATCTTGCATACTTAAAACCAGATGGATTTTTTAATGTAATTATGTTATTGGCGTAAGTAGGCTTTTCCAGGACTAATGTTTTGTGTTAAACCAAGCCACGAATGTAAAGCAGAGCTATACAGAGACTTGGCTGTAGTGGCATTTATATATAACAAAACAATCTACTTAAATAGCTACCTGCTGTCACCTACATAAAAATAACGGAGCTACTCGGTAGCAGTGGAGTTCCCACATTGCCAAAGGCTTGAAAAAAAACCCCAGGCTTGAATATTGCATTAGAGTGCTCGTTCAGCTGAACATATAATGTTGCTTATTGTTGGAAAATACTGCAGTACTAAATACCCAGTGGCTACTGAGATTCTAGTCTGCAGGAGTGACTGGTACATATGTTTCATTTTTCTTCTTGGATTGGCTTTTGAAATAAATCCAGAGAGATGGCTAAACTTTGTTCATCATTAAACTTTGAGCTAGTGCAGTGCTGAAGATTCTCCTGGATGCTCCAAATTATTTTCTTAATATTCCTAATAGCATATTAAGTATTTTAACAATTGTTGTCTGAAGTACTGTTGTACAGTAGGAGTGGTTGCTACACAGAAGTCATACCAGTGAAGATTGAAGCTGTTAAACTGGCAGGCGAAAAGGCTGCAGCTGTTTTAGTGTAATTTTGGACATCTCTTATGAATTGGTTTTGGCTTGTAGATGTCTTCTGCGAGCTGAGGTACAGAAAGGCTTGAGTGGTGTTTGCCCGTGCGTGGAGGATAAAAGTAGAGAGAGACAGAGACTATAGAGAGACTTGGTGTACCAAGTGGCTGAAAGGCTTAAGCTGTATACCTGAGCAGGTTTGAGGGGGGCAGTTACAGTACTATGTATTAGAGTGGCAGTTGTCAAGGAAAAGAGGCAGGGAAATGGATTTCTAGTTTTCTGAATTCAGAAATTATTTCTGTAAAACCATAAGGAAATAGTAATGCTACTTTTGTAAGAGTATATGTTGTTAAGCTTGTTCTCCATATACTCACAGAAAAACTGGAGCGATTCTGTGCAGTCATATACGAGAATAATGATAAAGCTACCGCTTTGAAAAAGAAAAAAGTGCTTTTGGAAACTTCTTTAGAAAAAGAGACAGGAGCTTCTTGACTTTGTCCTGGAATTTTCAGCAACTTTGATACTGCGTTCATGGGGCAGTAGAAAAGCTGTGAACTCAAAGCTCTGCTTTTCCTTGCTTATACTCTTGTTGAGAGTGTGCGTGTGTGCATATGTACACTGATCACTTTCCTAATAAACTTTTGATGAGTTAGTCCATTGTATTGCCAACTACTTGAATGTGTCCACTGGTATCTGATGAAAAATTCATCTTAATTTGGCAGCTGCACCAAAGGGGTGATTGAATGCATTGCATGCGAAGCACTGAATTTGGCAGCCCAACATGTCAGCAAATGCTTCTGAGCAGCAGCCCGGAGTTGTGCCTGTTACAGGCTGCAAACGGCCAGCGCAGGAGCAGATAGGCAACCTGTGCAGTTACAGACAGGTAACCTTCGCAGAAGTGGAATGATTTAAAAAAAAAAAAAAAAAAAGGACATTCTCCCTTACTATAACTCATCTTGTTGCTGCATGTTAGTTATCTTCAGTAATTGTTCTGTTTTGTGAGGATAGTTTAATAATATGAGTCTTTTTATTGCACAAAGAAATTGGATTAGTTTACCCATGGAATTTATTCTGTTTTTCTGCTGTTCTTACTTCCTGGATTCTCTGAATGTCTTGATTTCAGTTCTTCCTTTGTGCACAGCACTTAAGCTGGCTTTGTGTCTGAGCTCTCTTCTGTGCAGCTACATCACTTCTGTTGCCCTTTAGGGCTTTTAACCCTGGGCTTCTCTGTATGTGGTCCATTCTGTAAGCGTATTCTGGGTTACAGGAAGATTTGTAAATTAGAAGTGAGAATTTTGGTCACAGGTCATTATTTTAGAGATCCTTATGGAAGAGGCTTTAGTTTCCACTGAAGCCCTGACCTAACACTTTTAAGAGTGACGGATTTATTCTGGAAAATGGGATGCTGTGGTGCCTGAATCTGTCAAAATTGGAAATGGAACTGAAGCCAAGCAGATGCTTTTAGACATATTTTAACTAGTAAGTAAGTACATTTCATCTCAGTAAGTTCCTTCCTGCAATATAAAACTGGGTAATATTCAACATTTTGCTATAATAAATGTTAAAACCCCCTAGTTTCTACCAGATGCGGTCAGTAAGACTTAGATGATCGGTTACCACCATAGGTTGGTCTTAAAAGATGATCGTCTTAAGGTGATCTGGAGGGTGTGTTAGCCCTCTTGCTGTAGGCAGAACAAGTCTGCTCACTGTATTTGTCTTCAGTAAGTAAGGATGGTAACACACTGTTGTCCCCCAATACACCTGTGCTTTTTTCACTGCTCGCTTATGGGAAGACAGAGCTGTAACACAGAAATGATACTATAACCACATTTTAAATGACATTTGAGATCTAGAATGGAAAAATGAATATACAGAAAAGAGGTCGGTTTTTTTCTGTGACTTACTCTCATCTGGACTGCAGATTCTGCACAAACCCAATTTCCTTCAAGACTGAGCACGAGTGGGTGACCTTAGGGAGTAGGAGCTTAGCTGAAAACAGTATCATTCTTTGTACAATGCTCTGTGCTGAGGTAACTTTTAAATCTGATTGAAACAAAGCTGTTTTGGTCAAGTATATGTAAGGAGTCATCTTGTTAGATAACTTTCTTAAAGGATCTTCACTTTTTTAAAGGAAACTATGAAGAGCTACATCTATTTTTTTTGCTGAAGTTAATAGTGATTTGCTTTTCAAGACATGAGGGTGTCTATTCTCAAAAGCTAATACCACTTTAAAGGTAGATGCTGCAGGACTCAAGATAACACAACTGTTTATAAAGATCTTATCTTTTACAAAGGCCTTGAGAGTTCAAGGACTGGTGTTCAAATACAAGCAAGAGTTGAATTGTCTTTGTTGCTGGGGATGACATAAAACCATGCCTGTCATCTCTTATTACTGTTACAATAAGTAGACTCTTGAGACTGGTTTCCAGATAACCCTCCTCGCCTTTATGCTGGGCTGAAGTATTTCATTTGAATTACTATGCACTGAAGGCAGATGTGGGTTTTTTAGTCTGTAGGAATGTTGGTTTTGGGATGAGAATGATGCTACGGTATTTTAGAAGCAGATTAGTTAGCAGGATGCAAAGCATGGTAGTTTGCTAACCCCTGCTTATTGTGCAAGTTTCTGTAGGTCCTGTAACTCCTACAACAGACTAAAGGCTCTCAGGAGAATGTGGGCTTAAACTGGACTGTGTAAAACTGAAGTCTGTGGGAACTGCGCCAGTAAAAACATGGTCACAGTGTGCTATCAGTGTTAACTGCCTTCGTGCAAGTACAGGCCCTATTGTTGAACGTAGTCTTTGTTTCTGCTGAAGGTTATGTGCAGATTGTCTTATACTTTGCCAAAGTTATACGTAGGTGTGTGTTCTCAGAGTCCTGTAATGGGAACACAATTACTTTCTGCCATTCTAAAAACATCTGACGTCATGAGTGCCATCTCTGGGCGCTCTCAGTCATGCTCCTCTGTGAAAATGTGCAATCTTCTAGTTAGAACCAGTATGCTCAAGCCATTAGTACTCCTCAGACAATTCCTAGGTGTTGTGAATGTTGATATTGCAGAACTAGGAGTATAGTTTTTCCTTCAAACTGTGATGTTGGTATTTATGAAAGTGTTTTCTATTTAAATCAAGACCAGCTCTAAGGATATTTTGCTTTGTTTTTATAGCAAGTTTTGATTTTGTGCTCACGTTCTTCTGTCCCCTTTTTTGTGGCA